TGACAAATTATGCTCGGATTTATGCCAGGCATGTCCGCTGCTGACCATGCAAATGACGCTTTGTTTTTCCTTAAGAGTTCGATCAAGGCTTCTTTTATTTGGCCAGTCAACGTCGCTCCAATTCTAATTTTCCGGTCCGGCTTGTCTTCTTCCAACACCACTTCGACTACTACATCCTCTTTCTTCTGCCCGCTAGGAAATTTTGTTATTAGTCCCTCTTTTGCGGGCTTCGTTAATTGCTATTGAATCTTCAAACGGTGGCTAGCTAAGTAACACGTCCGTGAAGCTTCTTGATCTCCTCGAATTGTTTCCACCCCATTTGATGTTGGAAATTTGATACATTGATGGTATGTAGAGGGGACTGCTTTCATCCGATAAATCCAAGGAGTCCCAAGGATGATGTTGTAAGCTGCGGGTTTATCGAAGACAACGAAGTCCACGATCTTCGATACTTTCTTGGCAAGGACCGGTAGCTTGATTGTTCCGAGAGACATGGCTGACTCGCTTGTGAATGCAACTAATGGAGATGGGGGTCCTACTATGTCTCCTCGGCTGATTCCCATTTTTTCTAGAGTACTTAAAAAGATCAAGTCGACCGAACTGCCTGTATCTATAAGGATCCTTGATACTTCGAAGTTAGCGACATCAAGAGTAATGACTAGAGCATCATCATGCGGTCTTTCGAGATGCCGCGTTTCTTCTTCGCTAAATGATATTGGGGCACCTTGAAAATCAATTTCTTCGCTCAAGCTTGCTTTGAGTAAGACATTTCGCCTATGCTTTTTGATGGAACTTATTGAATCTCCGCAAAATCTGGAACCTCCTAGAATCACATTGATCTTACCTTTCGAACTTCTTGGTTCTTCCTCGTTGGATAACCTTGGTCTTTTGGAATCTTGATCTTTGGAGTTTTCCTTTGCTTCGTGGTATTCCTTTACAAAATCTTTTATATCGAATTTAGAAAGATCGCCACTAGCCCAAAGCTCTGCGAGGTGCTTTTTAAGAACGCTGCAATCCTTGATTAAATGTCCGGTTACTTTATGAATATCGCAATATAGACTTTCATCACGGACCCAAGTGTTTGATCTTCCTTTCCCTTGGAATTGCTTCCCGACGGTATTGTTGAAGGGTTGCGACCCAAATTTCCTTGGTCCTTTGCTCTCCCTAGGCTCGAACTTCCTGGCAGGGACGGTGATTGCTGGCTTTTCTTGCTTATTTCTTTTGGCAAAACTTTCTTTTTTGTCTTCTACCTCCATCCAGTTGTTTGCGCGGAAGAGTGCATCCTGAATTGTGTCTGGTTTATGAAGTATTAAGTCTTCTTTAAACCTTGAATCATGTCGCAATCCTTTTCGTAGGGCAGATAAAGCTGATTGCTGTGAGATTCTTGGGAGCTTTGACAGCACTCCTTTGAATTTGGTGATGAAAACTCGAAGTGACTCATTAGATCCTTGCGTTAAGTTCCAAAGATCGGCATCCGAAACGCTTTTATCCATAAGGATAGAGTATTGCTTTAAGAACACGGCTGATAGTTCGTCGAAATTGCTGATCGAACCCGGCTCTAATTGGGTGACCACATTAGAGCTTGGCCACACAGATTCCTCCGAAAAAAGCTTGCAGTAAACCTGCATCCTCATCCAGTTCATTCATTTCGACTCTTCCAGCA